GGGGGGGTTGTTTCTAAGCACTAACCATTCAGTTAGCAGCCAAGCACTTAACCAGCCCACTGGGGTCAAGTCTATGCCAACCCATTGTGATCCTATAGGACAGAATAGAACTGCTTCTTAGGGTTTCCAAATCTTTAAGGAAATCCATTTCCTCATTTTTCCTCCAAGGAGCAGCTGGTGGGTTGCAGTGCCAAACTGTGCGTTAGCAGAGCAGTATTTAATCCACTGTATCCCCAGGGTTGCTTTTCTCAACACCACCACCCATCCTCAAAAACATTTAAAAAGACCTAATCCCACTGCCATTGAGTCTATTTCTCCTCATAGTGACCCTAGATAGGGTTTCTGAGCTGTGTTAGTCTTGGTAGACTAGAGAAACATATCCAGAGACACTCATATGTATATAAGAAAGAGCCTTATATCAAAGAGTAATTGTACATTAAGAAAACATCCTGGCTCAGTCCAGATCAAGTCAATAAGTCTGATATTACCTCATATGTCAACACTAGTCCATAAATTCCTCTTTAGACTCACAAAACATATGCAATGATGCCGAATGCAAGGAGATCACAGGTCAGTGGGTGGAAAGTCTTGTGGATCTAGTGATGATATAAGCATCTCAGTGCTGCTGTGGGTCTCCACGTGGCTCCTCCAGCTCCAGGACTCTAGTATAGCTCCATGTCTTTTTTTTTTTTTTTTTAATATTTTTGCTCCATGTGTCTTGTCATCAGGAATATGAAGCAGAGCGTGTCCTGCCTCCAGGGAGGAATACAGGAGTTCCCAGAATCCTCAGGAGAAGGCCATGCCCACACGGAGGCCTCATTGGCAATGGCCTGATTGACAGGCTAGACTCCACCCCTTCGAAAGTTGACAGATCATGTAACTGTCACATGAGGTGCAAATCTTTATGAGAACAGATAGCCTCATCTTTCTCCTGAGGAGTGTCTGGTAGGTTTGAACAGCCAGCCTTGAGGGTAACAGTCCAATGCTTATCTGACAGCACCTGCACAGCTCCTTTAATCTAAAATAATCTTGTTAGAACAGGAAAGAAGCACCTGCCCTTTATAAAACAACAAGTAGTATGCACAGTTTATAAAGTTACAAGTAGTATGCACAGTGACTAAACATGGCTAGTGGAGACTACTGCTCAGTCATCTAGAGGAGTTTTTGGTTTTGTTTAAAGGAAGAAAAAAGGCCTTCTTCCAGCATCTCCTGGGTTAGGCATTGTGGCTGCTAGCCTCAAGGTCGGAGGTTCAACCCATCAGCCTTGGGAGAAAGGAGGCTGGCTGCTTCCTTAATGATTTACTGTCTCAGAAACCCAATATCAGGTTGCTGTGAACTGGAATCAACTCAACGGTAGTGGGGCTCCCAATTCGAACTTGATTTCAGTCTGCATAAAACTGTGAGAACCAGAGAAGGGATTTTCTACAAAACAGAATATACCATGAGAAATACCTCTAGGACACAGATGCTCTGGCTAAAAAGTAACCTTTAAAAACTGTTTCCATTATTTGGGAAACAAAACAAAGTTTTAGTAGATCCCTGACTTCAAATTTTGGCCAAAAAGGAAATTTGAGAGAGACTACCGTGTGTACTAAGGGGCCCTGGTGGTGTATGGGTTACCTTACCCACCGAGCTGCTAACCAGAAGGTCAGTAGTTCAAATCCAAGGTCCTTGAGAGAATGATGAGGCTTTCTGCTCCCATAAAAATGTACGTTCTCAGAGCCCCCAGGAGCAGTTCAACTCTCTCATAGAGTGACTAAGAGTTGGAATCAGTTAGATAGAGTGGGTTTGGTTTTGGCTTTGACTACGTGTATGACACAGTTGTGTTAACTAATTATTCATCTTTTTTTTTTTTTTTTGCTTTTCTTCAAACCAAGCAAAGTGAAGTTTAGAGAGGTGTGACTTCTCTAAGGGCACAATACTACTTAGGGCCAGAGATGTGATCCCAGTACTCTGGAGTTCCAATCCTGCACTCTTTCCAAAGCATAAGAATCCCTTGCCTATCAAGGATTTTAAAATCCTGACTGTCTTTTGAAGCCCCCATGATCTGGTCACCTGGGCAATGATTTCCAGTGTCTCTGCTTCGCGTCACTTAAACACGCGTTCCTTTCTTCTACTACCCATCCTTTAAAATCTAGTTTAATTGTCCATATCCTTCATGAAACCTTCCTCGTTTGCCATCTCAGTTGACTACCCTCTCCTCTAAATGTTTACACCTCTTATAATAACCATAACATAATGTGGTCCTGTGTTCCATTGCTTTGACCGTACCAAACACCAAGTGCACTGCCCTGGAGTCGATAATGAGTCTATAGGGCAGGATAGCAACCAAACTCACTGACATGGAGTCACAGCGACCCTAAGTATAGGGCAAAGGTAGAACTGCCCCTGTGGGTATTCTTTGGGAGTAGAAAGCCGCATCTTTCTCCTGCAGAGCGGCTGGTGGTTTCAAACAGCTGACCTTGAGGTTAGCAAGCCCACACATAACGACGACACACCAGGACTCCACTTCTAAGGGCTACACTTAATCTTTGGGGCTGTTGATAACTTCCACATTCCTGATTTCCCTCCGAGCTGGGACAGGGTGAGTCCTTCTGGGACCTACGAGTTACCTAAACTCAACAGGCAAGTACCACGTCTTGATTAATTAACATCAGCTCCAAGCTCTCCGGTTTTACGTTCGCTTAAAACTACAACATACCAATTAATAAGAAAGAGGCGTGGCGAGCCCAGACTACTTCCCCGCCACGTAATGCTCCCCTTCCGCTGGGGCTGGGTGTGGCCTAGACGCCCGGCGGCCGACGGGGCGGGACGCGAGCAAGGGAAGGCGTGGCTGAGGGGCGGAACCTGCGCGGTGGCTCGGACTCGGTTGTCTCCGGGAACCCTCGACCGTTTCCGACCACAAGCTCCTCCTCCGCCACTTTACTTCGGGTATTTCCGGCTTCTCTCGGGACTTTCCGTCTAGCTCCCCGCTCGTCGCTTTCCACTTCGGGTATTTCCGTGTCGCGTTCGGAGGCACTCGGCAGTCGCTCGGCCTCCCCCATCCCCCGGTAACGGTCGCTGGTGAGTTTAAATGAGCCGGGGTTGGCCGGGCCGGAGCCGCTACGGGGGGGGCCTGAGACACTGCCGAAAGTGGGCCTGAGCCTCAAGGATGACGGTGCTGCAGGAACCCGTCCAGGTAATGATCACCCCTTCGCTGGGGCTTGGCTCGCAGCCTCGGCCGGGAAGCCGCGTACGGCCACTCCGCGGCCTGGTGCGGCCTAGGCCGGGCTGCTTCTCCCGCCTCCCCGCCCGCCGGGTCCTGCCTGCCCCTTGGTCAGCCCCCCGCCCTTTCCCGCCACCTACGCCGAGATACCCCTGTACCTACATTACTTGTACCCTAATGTGAGCGGGGTGCGGGGATAATGCCGCCGTGCCCTTCGGAACCAAGTTGGGTCTGGCTGTCATTCTAGGGGCCTGGCCGGGCCAAAAACTCTCCCCAGGTGCTCTCCAGCCTACAGGATGGTTGAGAAGCACATCTGATCAGAGCTTGTGTCTGCCTCCTAATCGTGGGGCAAGTTTGCGGGGGGCGGGAGGGGAGGGGTTTGTTTGTTTTTGTTCAATGGGAGAGGAAGGAGGGGGAGGGAAAGATCGGTATTTTTCATACAAATTTCTATTTTGGTAACAGGCTTTCTAGCCCACGTTGCTTTTCTCATTCAGCGTATTTCCCAGCGGACAATTGTCCGAGAAGAGAAGTTCAAGGCCTAGTGGTGGGGTTGCAAGCACTTATCCTAAAGGAAGGGGTAGAAACCGCCAATCTTGGGGTCTCCACCACCCCACCACCACCACCCCCACACACCTACCCCTAACTTGTCAGTGATTGGGGTCAGGAGTATTTTATTGTGCATGTGTATAAGATGTTGGGAAATGACCAACTAGTAATGGCCTTTCCATCCATTTCACTGTCCTAACCCTGCTAAGGTGCGCTTTGACACACGGTAGGTACTTCGATGGCATCAAAGAAACCCTATTAGATTTTAAGTGTGTGATGCAGTGCCAAGTCATCCCCTACCCGCTTCCTCAGAACAAATGGAATCTTGTGTCCCTTGATGATGGACCAGGTTTGGGGGCCTTTTCAACCCACCCTACGATCTTGGACTTGGACTTGACCTCTACCCAAACTGCTTTCATTGAGTGGTGGATTTTCTTTATTTTGAAGATCTAAAAGTAAACTGATTTGTAGAAAGGTCTTCATAGTGGCCCTAACAGAGCTGGGGTGTATAATAGTAAATATTTAGAGACATTACCACCTCCATAATTCCGTGGTCTTTCTTCACATCGTAAAATATTTATTTCTTCTAGCTGTGCTTTCTTCTCTGGCTCTTTCCTTAGAGCAGCTGTACTTGTTTGAATTGATGTGTTGTGGAGTTCTATTTTAGAATGTGTACCTGTTTACAAGTTAGTTGTACCAGTGTTTCCAAAACTTTCTTTCCATCCCAAATTCCTTTCGCCAGCAAAGATTTCCTTTGCTGTGGCTTCTTAAATGGCTAAGCTTCTTTCTTAAATTGCTTACTTTCTATTTCATATCCTTGTGATTTTTTTTATCTTAAGGATTAATGCTGCACTTAACCTTCTCAGCCTCTAAAACTTCTAAGTAACTAGCTTCATTGACAGCATATAACTATTATTTAGTAATACTAACAACCTGTAAAAGCAGAGGGGCGAGGGTGTTGTCCATTCCAGGATCGTGCTCATTAGGTTTCTCCTCATTCCTTTAAGAATTTTTATATCAGTAATGCATTTAGATATTGTCAAGGATCAAAAGTCTAGTTAAGTGTGCCCACCCTACCCCCTTACACACACTCATTTTTTTCCATCTTAGGTTGGTGGTAATAAGTATTAGGATATGACTAAGTGAGGATTTTGGTGGTCTTTTAAGGTCTGATAGGAAGTCACTCCAGAGGGGATTCGAACTGGTGAGGGAACAGGCAACTCTGCCTGTGGTGATCCAGATTAAGTGCTGAACTTGGGAAAGTATTACAATGCAAGATTTTTAAAAATAGGATAGAGGAATATGATTTGTTTTTATAAAAGCAAATTGAAAATTATAACGACCCTTCACTTGTATTTGGGAAGGAATGAGAGAATGGGAGTGAGTTGGAAAATTACTTGGTTTCCCTTCTTGGGTCACCTGAGAGTTCACAGAATTACTCAGCATAGGAAAATATTGAGGGAAAAGGTGAGCAACTGTTTGTACCCCCTCCCTTTTTCTCCTTTAAAGTGTTAAGTTGGAAGAACTAGTCTGAGATTGACATATATGCCTAAATACAAGGAAATGACTCCTCCCCCAAACTGCCTCTCCTAGAAAACTCTTACTTTATATTTGAGTCTTTACAAAAGCCTCTCGTGTCTCCCCTTGTTTAATTTGTAATCGTAGTTGTTTGGAGAGGAGACATGAGCCTGTTAAGCAGCAGCTTCACCGAGAAAGACCAGATTGGAAGAATGTACCTGCTATATGCTGGGCACGGAAGAGTATGAGACTTTGAAAACCTTCTCTAAAAATGGCTGCCAGGGAAGTCCACTTTGAGGAAATGGCATTTACTTTTAACATCTGAAGCCTAGGAAGGAAACAGTAATTTGAAGAGCTTTATGGGTAGAAAAATAGCATGTGCAAAGTCCCTAAGACGCAGCAAAACTTGGCACGGGAAGAAATGAAAGAAGACAAGTGTGAGGGGTTGCATGGAAAGGGGGAACGCAGGCAGGGAGCAGAAGTAAGGCATCCAGGTTTTACTCAGAGTAGTGGGAAATCACTGACGATTTCCAGCAAAAGGTTGACCTGAGCTGATTTATGTGTTAAGATCTCTTTGAAATGTAAAATGGGAGGCAGGAATAAAAGCAATATTCTCAGAGAGGATGATAAAACTTAGTGCCTGGGCACTGTGGCCCTTGGGTCACCCTTCAGGCCCCAAAACTGGGCTCAACTTTCATCTAAACTCTGAGCGATGCAAGGTGCACAGTCACCCCTGGGAGCTAGACACTCCTTATAGCCAATCAACCCTAGGGGATCAAGAGGGAAGTGTTTGCCCCAGGATAAAGCTCAGAAGGCCCAAAGAGAAAGGGAACAAAGAGGAGTGGAAATGGAAATAGAGGGAGGAACTGGGAATTCCATGGCCGGGTTTATCATCAGTGTCTCAAAACAAAATGTGTGTGAATGAAGGGAGAACTGATTTTCTTTGTAAACCTTTACCCAAATTACAGTGAAGAAAAAATGTTAACAGTGGAGTAGGAAAGGTAGGAGACAAGTGGGTGAATTTGAAAGATGTTTTGGAGGTAGGAATCCAAGAGATGTTTGGCAGATAGGACTGATAAGACTTGTCTAAAAGTGTGTTTGTGGGAGGGGATCAAGAATGACTTCCTGGATTTTATTTTGTTGGTGCCACTTGAAACATGGATAGTCCTGTCGTGGGATGGGAATGGCAGGCGTATTTGAAGGATAGAAATTAAATAGTCTGCTTTGAGCAAATTAAGTTGGAGATATTTGTGGGACTACCAAATGGAAATATGGAGACATAACTCCTACTAATCTTTTTTTTTTTTTAACTCCTACTAATCTTTTGAGCCCTTTAATCTTGTTGGGAAAATGAGAATGTTAAACAGGAACAATTGGATAATGAAGTATATATTAACTGCCTGGATAATAAAGAAATTCAGGAAAGAGGAAGCCTTAAATAGTGAAAAATGGTGGAAGACAGGGGAAAGGAAGTGGGTGTTAACAAACCCAGGGCAAGGGAACAACAAGTGATCCAAAATCGATGGCGAGGAGGGTGTAGGAGGCCTGGTAGGGCTTAATCAAGGGCAATGTAACTGAGAGGAATTACTGAAACCCAAATGAAGGCTGAACATGATAGTGGGACAAGAGGAAAGTAAAAGGAAATAGAGGAAAGAACTAGGAGTCAAAGGGCATGTACATATGTAAATATATTTCTATATGATGATGGGGAAATAGATCTATGTGCATATATTTATAGGTTTAGTATTAAGGTAGCAGATGGACATTGGGCCTCTACTCAAGTACTCCCTCAATGCAAGAACACTTTGTTCTATTAAACTGGCATTCCATGATGCTCACCTTCCCGACAAGATTGCTGAAGACAAAGCTGGTGCATAAGCAAATGTGGTGATTAAAGCTGATGGTGTCTGGCTATCAAAAGATATAGTGTCTAGGGTCTTAAAGGCTTGAAAATAAACAAGCGGCTATCTAGCTAAGAAGCAGCAAAGCCCACATGGAAGAAGCACACAGGCCTGTGTGATCACAAGGTGTCGATGGGATCAGGTATCAAGCATCAAAGAACAAAAAAATCATATCGTTGTGAATGAAGGGTAGTGTGGAGTGGAGACCCAAAGCCCATCTGTAGGCAACTGGACATCCCTTAACAGAAGGGTTGCAGGAAGGAGCAACAATGAAACATACAACTTTCCTCTAGTTCTCTAATGCTTCCCCACCCCACCCCAACTATCCTGATCCCAATTCTACCTTACAAATCTGGCTAGACCAGAGGATGTACACTGGTACAGATAGGAACTGGAAACACAGGGAATCCAGGACAGATGATCTCTTCAGGACCAGTGGAAATAGCGGGAGGGTGGAGAGAAGGTGGGGTAGAAAGGGGGAAACGATCACAAGGATCTACATATAACCCCCTCCCTGGTGGACGGACAACAGAAAAGTGGGTGAAGGGAGACATCGGACAGTGTAAGATGTGACAAAATAATTTATAAATTATCAAGGGCTCGTGAGGGAAGGGGGTAGGGATGGAGGGGGGAAAGTGAGCTGATACCAAGGGCTACAGTAGAAAGCAAATGTCTTGAGAATGATGATGGTAACAAATGTACAAATGTGCTTGACACAGTGGATGGATGTATGGATTGTGATAAGAGTTGTACGAGCCCCCAATAAAATGATTTAAAGAAGAGAGAGACTGAAAAATGTAAACAGCGTTTTGAAGAAGTAGGAGCTAACAGTTTAGAGGAAGTCAGCCTGGATTAGTAGAGAAGTGAAAGAATATTCGTGACGTAGAGTGGCTTGAGCAAAAGCCCAATATTAAAAATGAGAATGGAGGTTGAACTTTTGAATTGTATGATATGTGAATTATATGCCAATAAAAAATGTAAGCGTTTAGGGGAAAGAGAGCAGTAAAA